ATCAAAAAATACACTTTACGATAAAAAAAATCCATGTGGTATGGCTACAATGGCTCTCTCGCGCTGCCACACACACACACCACACCACACCACACCCACACCCACACCCACTCTCTCTCTCTCTCTCTCTCTCTCTCTCTCTCTCATCGTGCATCAGGCCCAAATTCAAAAGCAGCACATGACTGGGCACCTTGTATGACGCCGCCCAGCCCGCAAACCGCGCGCCAAAGCGGGTCGGTTGCTTGTCCTCCACGTGCGGAACAACGGCGGATTCTTCCGCCAACGGGTCGGACTGCGCTCGTGCAGACGTTTCCACGGCGTTTCCTGTTTGAGGGATGGACGGGGAGGGGGTGTATGGTGAATGTGATGATGGGGGAATGTGGAGGTTGATGTTGTGAGCGAGCGCGATGGTGGAGGCGGTGTGAAACCATCACATTCGCACACACACACACACACACACACACACACACACACACACACACACACGCACGCACACACACGCACACACTCACACACACGCACACACACACACACGCACGCACACACATGCACGCACACGCACACGCACACACACCTTGGATGAGCTGGTCGAGCTTGCCGATGGCTTTGATGTGGTCGAAGACGGCGCTGTATCCGCCGCGAACACACGTGACGTGCATGAGGTGCCGCTTCAGGCACCTGTGAAGGAGGTGGAGGAGGCGACGGCGATGGTGGTGGTGGTGGTGGTGGTGGTGGAGCATGAGGATGAGAAAGGCAATCATCGCAACTGGAGTAAACATCGAAAGGAGAGAGCACAAACACACAATAAAACACTCCACAACAACAAGGCAAATGGCAACAACAAATCACAGCCGGGGACACCGCTGCTGGACGCACCGGGAGATGAGCATCTTGAGAAGGTCGTCGTCGTCGGTCGAGCCCATGAAGCAAATGTGCTGCTGTGCACATGAACCAGTTGTGGCGGTGGCAGTCGTCATGTGAGGAGACAAGCATGCAAGATAGCAACACACACACACACAAGTGCAGGACATGGTGTGCAGCATGCAAGACAGAAACACACACACACAGCAACACACACACACACACACACACACACACACACACACACACACACACACACACACACACACACACACGAGTGCAGGACGACCTGTGCGGAGTGTTCGAGCTGGTGCTCGAGGGCGGCGAGATCTTCATCCACGGCAGCGGGATCGTGCAGCAGCTGACACATACGCACACATGTTCACAAACACGCACACACACACATGTTCACGTATGCATACACACTCATGTAAGTACATGCACACATGAGTAGCACCCGTGCACGTACACGAGCGCACACGACAATCCGCAGACAATCTTCCTGTTCTTCCCCTAACACACCCTCTTTGCGTCGAGGTGCTTTGAAGTGTGCGTGAGGTGCCCTGCCGTGTACAGCTCAGTGGGTCGCGTGTCCACAAGAAACAGCGAGCGCTCCCCAATCCTTCCGAAAGAGAGCGAAGCAAGGACGATGGTGCACATGTTGATGTAAGAGGAAGTGCGCGTAGAAGGGCGAGTACACGTGTGAGCGTGTGTGTATGTGAGCGTGCATGTGTATGTGAGCGTGTGTGTGAGGGTGCAAGAGAGGTGAACACGCTACCACAAACAGACACCGAGCGTCATGAGCAGAACGCAACACACATGTACGCATCATAGTGAGACAGGAGAGCGTGTCACCTCTTCAGGAGCGCGGCTGGTGAGACGTCGAAGCACAGCAGCTGCATCACATCATCAAACCCTGCACACATAAAACAGACAAGCAGTGGAGTGGAAGTACCGTGAGAGCACGCACATCTGCAAACAAAACACACTACACACTACACTACACCACACTACACTCCACATCCTCTCTTCCCCTCCCCCCTCCCCTTTTCAACGCACCGCGGCCAGCAGTTGGAGAGCCGCCGACGCCAAAGACGTGCGCAAAGTAGTCTGAGCGCAGCGTATCTGGGGTGAGCGAGCTGTAGTGCAGGCCGAGGTCAATGAGGTCGCCTAGGTCGTCTGGCGAGACCTGCGCAGGGAGGGAGGAGAGGAACTCCACCGCTGCGGTGGTGTCGCTGCCAAGATCAACAACATAGTCCTTGGCGTTGATCACAAACACGAGCGCCAGGAAGAACACTGCATGTGGTTTAAGGAAGAAGGGGGGGGGTTGTTGTTGCTGGTGAGCTGTGAACAGAAAGCTGCAAGTGTCGCTATTGCAGTGAATGTATGCCCACGGAGAGGCAGAGATAGAGACAGGCACAGACAGGAAATGTTATCCTGTACAACATTGTGCACTGCACATACACACACACACATATTTACCCACACACACATATTTACACACTCAGCACACATGTACGCACCAAGGAAGGGGTCTCCGTGGGCAATGTATTTGTCCCACAGCTTGAGCGCAATGTCCCCTGGACACGCCGTCGCAAACAGGCTCTGGAACTGTTTGCGTGCGCAAGTATACATGTGAACAAGCCAGCGTTGCTTTGGTGAGACGTGAAGAGAAGTGGTACTTCGCACAAGGACAACGCAAACAAGACAACACACGCACACGCACGCACACGCACACGCACGCACATACACACACACACAAAAGCTTCGCACCCATGGGAGGAGAAAGTCATGCATGCTGATGTGGGCGCTGTCAAGGAAGAGGCAGAACTCTGGCTCGTGATACAGCAGCAGCAGCCGAAACATGTGGAAGCACGCACTATGGCGGAGAGGGATGAGGGAGGGGAAGGCGAGGTGAGCACGAGATGTTGGACAACGCACACACATGCACACACACACACACACCACACACACTCACGCACACACAGACATGCACACACACACGCACGCACACACATACACATGCACACATGCACACACACACAACGAACACACCTGTCTGGCTGGGTGTCCCTGAGGGCAAACTTGCTGACAAATGCGTAGAAACAGTTGTACACATCCCCAATGGCCATGCCAGTGCCAAAGAACGGCAGCAGCAACTCTGTACACCGCAGTGACGATTGGGTTTGTTCCAACGATGCAAAGGTGTAGTGGTGCAGGTGAGGCAATATTCCATGAAACGTCTTGCATCCAAGGGCACAGAGGTGCACACACGCACACACACACACACACACACACACACACACACACACACACACACACATGCGCGAACACACCGATCCATCCGTTGCTGACGGCGTGGTCTGTTGTGACGCCGCGGGCCTGGCAGAAGACCACAATCACCTTCACCATGTCTCCCGCCTCCACACTCATGCCATGCTCCGACTTCAGCTTGTCTGAATTTGTGTGATAAAGTGAATTGTGAGTGCGTGTGTGTGCGTGTGTGTGCGTGCTTGTGCACATGTGTGTGCATGTGTGCATGCAAACAACATTCGCAAGATACTTCCCTCTCATTTTTCCTCACCCTCGCTCACGTATGCACACACACATACTCTCTCTCTCTCTCGCTCTCTCTCTCTCTCTCCATCTCACCTGCAGCTGTTCGGCACGCATCGAGGAGCTCGCCATCTTCAGGCACGCTCAGCGTCTTTGGCGTGATGGTGTCTGGCTTTCCACGCACCCCTGTAGAGCACACAAGAACAATGGCCCAAAGCACACCACATGGTGCGTGAGCAAGCACAGGTGTTGCTGGTGATAGCGCAAGATGCTGCAAGCACGCCACCCTTGTCTCCTCCTTCACCACTCACCAAGGAGGAGCGGCCACACGAGGCGCCGAAGGTGCTTCGGGCAGTCTTCCTCCTTACACAGCCTGTACTCATGTCAACCAAAAAAAAAAAAGCAGTGAGTGCGAAGCGGTGACTTGAAATGATACACACACACGTACAAACACACACACACACACAAACACACACAAACACACACAAACACACACAAACACAAACACACCATGCAAACACACACATGCAAGCACACACACATGCAAACACACACACAGACACAAACACACCTTGTGGCGGTGGCAACGTCTGCGACGCCGCTTTCCAGGTCTGATTCAAACGCTTCCCTATGGAATCCCAAGACAAGGCAACACACGCAAATGCACCTCCTGTGAATCCTGGCCATGCGTGCTTCAACCCCTCAGCACAGCAAGCACATCTAGCACAGCAAGCACAACAGAGCAGCAAGCACAGCAAGCGCAACGAACCAAGCAGTCATCTCGCTCCTTTTTCGGGCGCAGCGGTTTGTGACGATTAATGAATGATTTATAATAAATTTCTTCAAGTGCCAACACAGCGAACAACGAGAGCGAGCCAACCAGCAAACCAGCCAACCAGCCATGAGCGAGGTGTGTCGTCGTCGTCGTTGCCTGGTTGCCTGGTTGCCTTGTGGTGGAGGCTGCTGTGGTGGTGGAGACTGCTGGTTGGTGTGGTGATGCTTGTTGGTTTTGATGGCACCAGTATGTGCTGCTTTACTCACGCTGCTTATCGTGTGCACCTGCATTCATCCCGGTCCACAGAAGAAGCCTGCCGCTGGGTGAGTTTGCTTGTGTTATGCGACTGCATGTTATGTCTGCCTGTGCATCCTTGGTCCACCCCCGTTTCTTGTTTGAGCGCTCATACATGTTTTGTTGGTGTGGTTGCTGTTCGCTTGCCGTTTCATCAGCAAGGATGTCAACCTTGACATGCTGCACAAGTACATCTCACAGCTCGAGGTTGTCAACAAGCAAAAGGTGTGTCTACTCGTGCTTGTGCATGTAAGGGTGCATGTGCGTGTGCATGTGCATGTGCGCGCATGCGTGTGCACACGTGTGTGTGTGTGCATGTTGACTGGCATCTACGTTCATTCGCACACACACGCGTGTGTTCACAACGATCATGTCACTCGGTTTGTGTTGCAGGTTGCTGAAGAGGAGGCACAGGTGCACCGCTACTGGGATACACAGCCCGTCCCCAAGATGGGTGAGTTGCCCTTCCCTTGTGTGCTCACAGTTGTGTGTGTGAGTGTGTGTGTGAGTGTGTGTGTGAGTGTGTGTGTCTGTGTCTGTGCCTGTGTCTGTGTGCGTCTGTGTGTGAGTTTGTGTTCCGTTCTTCATCGCATTCACCTTGGCGATAATTTGCTGGGAACAGGAAACAAACGCAAGAGAAGGAAAGGGGACGCACCCGGTACGAATGATTGGCACTATGACACCAGCCATGTGGCAATACAGTTCCACCACACACACACACACACACACACACACACACACACACACACACACACACACACACACACACACACACACACACACACACGCACACACACACATTCGGCGTACAATATCTTCCAAGCCGCCAACCTTGTTGGGGCGCTTCCATGTTGTGTGCGCGTGAGTTTGGAGATATTCAGCAATGCGTCTGGTCCACCGTTGACATCCAGAAGGAGGAGGAGGTGAGGCCCAGAACAGCTGGTCTGTGTGTGTGTGTGTTTGCCAACACCTAATGGTGACTTGAATGCACAAGCCTTTCAGCACACAACCACACACACACACATACACACACACACACACACACACACACATATGGGAGGCGTGACGTACGGTAGTGCCTGGCGGGTAGACTTTGCTGGCCGCCTTTGTAAGGACGACCTCCTCCTCCTCCGTCCACTGGGCGGGCGGCTGCACAGCACACATACACACACGCACACACGACACAGCAGCAGTGGTGGTAGGTGGGCGGGGTGGGGGGCAAGAGTGAGGTGATAGAGGAACGTAAGCACTGGGACGAATGTACATGCACTGAGACCAAGTGTATGCAGCACCACCACCAACGACAAGCATCCAATCGAGCACCATCAGCAGCAGTGTCGTCATGCTGTTGGGGTGTCTCACCTCGCTCTTTGCCTGCTTGACTTTGGCCATGCACTCCTTGATGCGTTCGACGCACTCCTTCTTCGTGCGGCCGGGAACAAGCTCGGCAATCTGCAAACACACGCGCGACAGACGGGCAGGGGCGGGGTGTTGGTTGAGAACAGATGCCATCACATCAGCTGGAACAACTGCATGAATGTAGAGCAGGGACAACACAACAAACAACTGAAACAGCAGCACCAACACCATCACCACTCAAGAGTGTGGGCGCACCTTATCCCAGCGGTCTGGGTCCGACTTTGGCACGGAGCGGATGGCCGTCTCGAGCACTTTCTGCTCGTCGTCAGACCACGGCTTGGGGCCCTGGGCATGAGATGATGAGGTGGTGAGGTTGTGATGATGGGTTGTGATGGGTTGTATTGAGGTGATGAGGTGGAGATAGGAAGTGGTTGGGAAAGGGAATTCTGAGCAACCAGTCATGAAAAGCACGCTTTCGTGCTTTCGTGTCGCTGGACAGTCATGGCAGGTACAATCACACCAGATCACGATGCAACACACCTCCTCCTCTTCCTGTTCCTGCTCCTGCTCGTCGTCGTCATCATCGTCGCCTTCACCGCCGTTCAGCTTCTGCAGCTGCGCAAACACGGCCTTCTTGAATGCGGCGTCCTCAGAGATGCTCGTCAGCGCCTTGATCCTGCACACACACACGCACACGCACGTAGCGAGGAGGGTGAGGCATAAACAATACAAGTGCACACAACAGCACGTATACGCAACAGCACGCACGTAACAGCATGCATGTGTCTCCACAATCAACGCCATCCTCGATGATGACGACAACAAACAATTGCCATCATCAATACGCAACATCTTCCTCTTCCCCTCTAACCCAGCTCCCACAGGCACGCATCGCTGGCAGCGCAGGTAACTCGGGTGTGGTGTGTGCACACGTACTCGTCTGCCTCAAGCGACTTCAGGGTCTCCATCTCGGCGCCCGTCACTACGCGCTTGCCGCCGACTTTGGGCGTCACAGAGGGGTTCTGGTCACGGTGGTAGCGACATGTTCATGATGATGTGCGTGTGCGTGTGTGTGGGGGGGGGGAGGGTGCAGGTGGAAGTTATGGTGATGGCGGCGTGAGTGGGATGATGAACACAATTATGGGAGCATTGTGCAACGAACGTATCGAGGGCATTTCCCTCCACACGCAAACACAAATCTGACAGGACATGAGGCACACACCTCGGGGTCGTAGATGCCTGCGCGCTTGCACGCCTTTGTGATGGCGCGGCGCAGCTTCTTTGCTTGCTGTCAACATGGACGCATGTGCGCATAGGCCAGCCATGGTGGAACAGAATGAGGACACGTGTTCCATTTACACGCCAAGACGGGGACATCCAAAAACGGGCAAACATCGTTGCACACGCGTGTCAGAGCAAGATTGCGTGTGTACACATACCTCCTTTGCCTTCTTCTCGTTTGCGCGAGCTTCCTCCTTTTCCTTCTTGCGCTGTTCCTCCTCCTCCAGGCGCTTCTGCCGCCGCTCCTGTCAACACACACACACACACACACGCACACAAGCACACGCACAACAAAAATGTTAGTCAGCGTCGAAACAACAGAATTCAGCTCTGCCAACACCACTGCCATCACCACACACCATCGCAGGAACAATAGGTGCTGACCTCAGCCGCTTGCTTCTTGCGCTCTTCACGAAGGCGCTTTGCATCCTCCTTCTCCTTCCGCTGGCGGGCAAGCTCCCTGCACACACACACGCACACGGGTGGATTAGAAAGAGACAACGGGAGCGTGGGTGTGGTGAGACACATGCAAGCCACTACAACCGCAACGCTGTGTCTAGCTCCAAACGACACAAATGCAAATTGGGTGCTCAGACGCATGTGCACGTGTGTGCACACCTCTTGATGCGTGGGTCGCATGCCTGGGCGTTGCTCACAAGCTTGCGGAGACGAGCAATCTCAGCCTTCTTCTTGCGCTTGCGAGCGTTCCTGGTGAGGAGTGAGGGAACGGGTGGTAGGAAGAGAGGGGGAAAGGAGGGAAAAGTTAGAGTGAGAGGATAAAGTATTGGATGAAAACACACATGCATGCAAGTGTGTGCACAATATAGCCCATGGTTCATGGTGGTTCACCGCACTTGTTCTGGCGCTCCATCCAGCGCTTCTCCTCACGGCACTCGGCGTCATCCAAGTTGTACTGCGCGTTGATAATGATGGTGATGGTGAGATGTTTGAATATACACACGTGGACAGGCGCACACACAGGCAGGCGCATACGCAGACACGCACACGTACACACACACAGAGGCACAAACACAAATACACGAACACGTACACACACTTACACACACATATGCAAAACGCATCGGCAACTGACCTCGTCGTCATTGTAGCCAAACTCGCGCCAGGAGGTGCACGTGTTCCAAAACTCGTAAAAGGCGACCACCTTCTTGTAGGGCGTGTCCATGGTGCCGAGCGAGGGCACGGGCTTCTCCACAACAAACTTGGCGTTGTGCTCAAAGACGGGCGCAAACACCTCGATAAAGTCCTTGCGCTCCTTTGGCGGGAGAATGTCGGGGATGTCATCGTCAAAGTCGTCGACGGAATCGTACAGCCGCCGCATCTGCTCGTTGCACAGCAGCTCGTATGCTGCACGCCACGTGTGTGTGTGTGTGTGTGTGTGTGTGTGTGTGTGTGTGTGTGTGTGTGTGTGTGTGTGTGTGTGTGTGTGAGCGTACAAAGAGTGCTTGTTTGTTTGGTGGTAGAGGCGTACTTGTGGAAGTGACATTGTAGCGTGGCCGTGGAGGTCAAGCGGCAATGAGCCAACACATCAAAAAGGAGGAGCAACAATCCAGCGCGCGTACCCTTTTGGATGCGGCTGAAGTACTCGTCGGCCTTCTTCATCTCCGCCGGCGGCAGGTCGCCCTTCTTGTCGGGGTGGTGCTTCAGCACCATCTTGCGGTCTACCGCGTCCATCATCAGCGCATCACATACAGATTGTGAGCGGCACGGAAAGCATGTGAACGCAATTGACACTACAGTTACATGCAATTCCTTCCACACACCCGCCAACTGCATTTCACGCTGTCTCGCATCACGCGTGTGAACGACTCACATGCGCGCTTGATGTCGTCCTGGGTGGCCTGCCACCGCTTGTCTTGCAGGCCGAGAAGCGCGTAGTGGTCTTGGTCCTGAGGATAATTGGGCAAGGCACACACAAACAGAGAAGACGAAGCGTGAGTTCAGCAGCAGAATGACTGGAGCAGAGACCTGACCCGCAACAATCAAACAAAACGCCAACACACCGCCCACGTACGCGGGTACACACACCTTCCACTCGCCGAGGATGTTGACGTAGGTATCTGCGGAGGAGCCGTCATCGTTGCCATCATCCGCTAAACGGATGAAGGGTAAGAAGGAGGTAGAGGATAGGCAAGGGAGCGGAGGAGGGAGAGACGTGAGCAAAGCAAGGGTGAGATGACATGGACATTTCGTCCACGAGTTTGAGGAAGGCACCTTCCCGACACATGAAGCAAGTGCACACAAGCGGCAGCATTGCAGTGCCTTACAGTTGTCATCGTCGCTGTCGTTCTTGCTCTTGCCGCCATCATCGTCAGCCGTGGGGGCAAAGGGGACGCTGAGCAGGCGGCGGTGGCTGTACTGCTCAAACCACTTGCCGACCGTCTGAATCTCCACACGAATCAGGTCTGCACAAACACAACAACGAGACAGGCAGGCAGTAATGCACGTGTGTGATGTCATGGACGGGTTGTGAGAAGAGGCATATGGCGAGCACACAAAACGGAAAAAAGACAGCAAGGAATAGACAGCTGATACGCTGTCATGCTGATGCGCCCAACGCCGTGACTGCATCACGCGTCTCACACAGCCGCCATACCGGAGAGGCTGTCGACTGTCTTGCAGACATCATCAGCTGGCATGTCCTCCGGCAAGGGAGGCATCACCAGCACGTCGCTGCTCGTCACTGTGGCCATGGTCGTCGGTCTGTCTGTCAATCAATCTGTTCGCGTGCGTGCGTGCGTGCGTGCGTGTGCGTGCGTGTGTGCGTGACTGTTGATGAGTGCGTGTGTGCCGTGCGGCCTCGTGTGTGCGCTTGCTTTTTGCACGTGGTTGAAAGGCAAAATTGCGCGCCAGCCC